ATACGGTGAATTTTAAAGTCCTTTCACATATTCTGACATACAATACTTTAGTGATATCGAGGTGGATAAAGAATATTAAATTGCATGCAAAACAAATCTGGATTTGGTATGGGAGGGTTGCAAGTTGCAATAATTACATAAAATATGAATTTTTTTTAATAATTAAGTGCACACTATTGCGCAAGTGTCTCCCCACTTGAAATTATATTATCCATATTTTGGCACGCCCAGATCCAGTCAAATAAAGCAATTGACTTAAGACAGCAATTATAGGTTTTTTTTTTTTAAAAAAAAAAAACTTTTATAAAAGAGAATAAAACACGTAATTATATCTAGATCTTGGCCAAAAGCCAAATCTAATCGGAGAATATAGCTAAGGGGAGTCTAAACCACCACAATATACCCACAATAATACATACTCCCAACAGTAGAATAGGGATCCAAAAAGATGAGAATAATAATAATAATAATAATAATAATAATAGAAAACTTACACAAACGAAAAAAAAAGAGCTAAAAACGGACAAAGCCTTTCCCACAGACGACACTGAGTACACCACGACAACGACATCCAAGGTCGGCCACCAAAACAGACTGAGTCTCGGCCCTAGTCTTAGATCCAGAAACTACCACGAAGCGTAACTGAAACCAACACCCATGAACTCGACCCACGAACTCGACCCACGCCCAGGCGACCGACCCCACCCCCGTAGCCGGAGAAAAACGAGCTAACCCCCACCACACCACCGTCGCCCCGAGCCCAGCCCAAACCATGGTAGGCCCAACAAGCCGGCAATCCCTTTGCCTACGCACCAGAAGCAAATGGGACACGTGAGAGAGCTCACTCTCTTAAGCCCCAACCACCGTATCAGGCCGTCGAGTCACGTTGCATACCACCAGAACACCAACGCCCTCATCCGCCACACCGCCCGGAAGATTGGTAACCTCCGGCCCAGAAGACGACCTATGTAATCGGCGAAACCTTGCAGGCCAGGTTGTCCGATCTGCCAGTTCGGCGCAAGAAAATCTACATCGACCTCAAGAGGGAGAGAGTCGTGCGGCCAAGGGGAAAGGAGACGAAGAGAG